CGCCTAGCATGCATGAGGCACTGAGTTCAATCCTAGCACTACATAAAAATAAAATAAAGGTATTGTGTCCACCTACAACTAAAATATAAATATTAAAAAAGAATATATTCCTGTGTAATTTTACTAGATAATATAAAATGCCAACTACAAAGGTTGTAAACTTTTACATGGACCTCAGCTGTTATTATATATGCTAGGTTGAAAATTTCCAAATTGTTCTTCTATATTTCTGGGGGTTTTTTGTTTGTTTTTTACAATGATGGTTCTTATGAAAACCTCAAATTTTACTCATGGTCAGGGTCCTTGCTTGTTGCTCCTGTAGTGCTCATTGTTCTCATTCTTGTCAGTGCTTGGAATCAGTAAGTATCTATTATGTTTTTAAGAGAGTGAACATCATCTGTCTCCATCCTGGGCTGCTTCACCATCCCCTTATAGCTAATCTTTTTTTTCAGTTTTGGTTTCAACTGTCCAATTTTTAATAAGATAATCAAACATGGTATGTATTTGCCCACCAGTAAAAGGTAGCATGTTCTACACCAGCATTGTCCAATGTAAATTCCTTCAGAAATGAAAGTGTTCTCTGTCTGAACATTCTCTATCCAAAGTGTGCAAGGTGATTGTCACTGGCTACCTGTGACTATTGAGCCCATGGCAAGTGTGACTGAGGAAGTGAGTTATAATTTAATTCAAATTTGAAGTATGAACGTCCACATTTATATTATGGCTTCTTTTTAAAACAATTTTAAGCTTTTTAAGTTGTATATGGAAACAGCACTTTTTTATTTTTTATGTGGTGCTGAGGACAAACCTAGTGCCTCATGCTTCCTAGGCAAGCGCTCTACCACTGAGCTACAACCTCAGCCCAATTATGGCTTCTTATTGGACAGCTGCAGCTAATACTTTTTTCTGGATCTTCTTTTTTTTAACCTAAAAATGAATCCTGAAGATCACTCCATAGCAGCAAGAGAGGGATTCTGCATTGTTTTTTATACCTGCATAGTCCTCAGGTTTATAGTAGATTATTTCACCAGCCTCTTGTTTGTGAATATCTGTTATGTTTCTAAACTTGTGCTGTTATGAATTCTCCCTTATCTTTTTGCATTGTATCTTTGACATAGATTCTTAGAAGGCACATTGCTGTTTCAGGAGTGTCTGCCTTTGTAATATTGCTAGATAGCATCAGGTACACTCCATGAAGTTTGTGCCATTTGATATTAGCTCCTGTAGGACATGAGAATGCCTACTTTCTCACAACTATCCAAGAGGAACCGAGGAAGGTGAACATCATGTGAGAAGTCTGTGAAAACCATTTCACTAAATCAGAGAAATTAGATATTTGGACAGGGTTCCCAGGCCTGTGCTTGTCTTTTTTTCATTTCATTTGTTCTAATTAGTTATACATGACAATAGAATGAATTTTGAATGCATCATACATAAGTGTTGTACTTGTCTTTGAAAATTTGGTCTCTCCTCTTTTTTGTCTCTGTGGCTCTGGGTCCATGTTCCCAACTGGGGGAGGAGGTCTTAATGAAACAGAAAATATATCACCACAGGATAGTAATTAGGAAGGGCCTCCCTGCTAGGGAAAAGATGGGCACAAAACTAGTTTGGCAATTCACCAACCCTGCCCTAGCACAGGGCTAAAGGAAGAGTCTGTAGTTCCCTGCTCATGAGAAGAATCAACACTGAAGCCATATGAGGGTTTCATCTTCCTTCACTCCATATCTGTGAGTGAGGAGAAGGTAGCCTATTAGCACTAGGTACATCAGTTTCCCAAGTTTCATCCTCTCCCCACACAACTGTACCATGTCTTGCTCAGATGCTGAGTTTCCAAGATTCAGGGTGACTGTTGGACTCTTGTTGCCTGAAATGCAGTCCATTAAGATAATACAACATAGCAGAACCTTTAACATCCATATTGCTTCCTTTGGAGATATCCTGTTGTACAAGGTCTAGAGAAAGAGAGAGGAGTGTGGGATGTGCATGTAGAACTGGCCTGGCGTGCCAGCACAAACTAGACCCCAGTATATATTTCAAAAATTTGTTACATAGGGCTGGGGTCGTGGCACAGTGGTAGAGCACTTGCCTAGCATGTGTGAGGCATTGGGTCCAATCCTCAGCACCACATAAAAATAAATAAAGTTATTATGTCTGATGCAACTAAAATTATTTTTTTTTAATTTATTATATGTAGGCATAGGAGTAAGCAGAGAATGAAACTATGCATGTGTTCTTTCAGCTTTATACACATGGAAAGTTTTCAGTGAGAACTGAGTTCATACACTTTGTTGTTTCATAATCTGCTTTGAGGAAAAATTCTATTTCTGTTCATAGAAATGATACCTTTCCTTGAGGTAGAAATGACCTGGAAAAGATGGAGAATGATGCCACCTGGTGATGGGAGTCTGAATTGTAGGAGTGAAAGTGTCCAGTAGGAGGCTTGGACACAGGTATGGGATTTATGGGCTGTGAGGAAGCTGCCTGGATTTATTTGTACATGCCAAAGTTTTCTGGACTTTTCCACACATTGGAGGTGATCCTACTATCTTTATTCCCACCCTGGGATCTTTTACCATGGTATTAAAAGTCTAGCCTCTGTGTGGACTGAATAGAAAACTGCTCGACTTTATGTGAGAATATTATTGTAAAGAAGGTTGAGACATAGAAACATAGGAACACCCACATATACAGAAACACTGTCAAATTGATTTGATCTGCTTCTTTTTAACACATAAAACAGTATATTATGAGCATGTTTCCAAAGCAGTGATTATGTGGGCATCATATGTATAATTAGTTCACAATCATTTTCTTTTGAACATTTTAAACAATAAGGTTCTCATATTTAAAATACTATAGTTTACACATTTTAAAAATGTGCTTAATTTTATTAAATTATTATTTTTGTGCAATTTTCCCATGTATATGGTCATGATTCTTAGTCTATTAATGTGTTTATGAATTTCCTTATTTATGAAACTTTATCTCAATCACTTTGCCACACTACCAGTTAATTTATTTTGTTATTTAAGACATGTAAAACAAGGCTGGGGATGTAGTTCAGTGGTAGAGCAACTGCCAAGCATCTGTGAGACTCTGGTTTCAATCCCACATACACACATGTAGGCATGCACATGCCCAAGACATATCAAACATAATTGAAATGTATATTAGTAATTAAAATTATTTTGTCTCCTCTTTCTTTCCCTATAATTTTCTCATCCTTTAATGCAAAGAGAGTTTCCATTGATTAGTTCTTACTTGTTCTCTAGACTTTCTCTCTCTATGTAATACTATAACTTGTATTTAATTATCTATACATATCCATTAGCCTAGGTAGGTTGATAGTTGTAATTTTTTCTATAGTGGGACCATATTTGACCTTATATTTTGTGACTTGCCTGATTGACTAAATATGTTTATTTTTGGTGTTTTTCCAAGTATTTGTTTAGGATTTGATTTTGCTTTTAATGTGTATTATTTCTTGATATAATTAACATATGTCAGTTGTTTAAGAATATTCCACACATCAGGACTGGGGTTGTGGCTCAGTGGTAGAGCACTTGCCTGGCATGTGTGAGGCACTGGTTTGATTCTCAGCACCACATAAAAATAAGTAAATAAAAATGAAAGTTCATCCACAAATGTGTGTGTGTGTGTGTGTGTGTGTGTGTGTGTAGAGGGGGGGAATTGTATGCATCATGGGTTACAAACTCATGATTGAGTATAGATTAGAAATAGTTTCTCCCATTTGCATACTTTGTTTTGTACTTTGCCTACGTGAATAGAATTATACATTTTATAATTATAGTTATTATTTAAAAAGTACTTCAGCACATTGTCTTCAAGAAAACAACCAAATTCCAGTGAATTCCAATGCCTTGTATATCAAATGTCTATCTCAGCTTAGAGTTCAGAGGTGACAAATTTTAATGTTTTGAATTATTTTAGATTTTGAGCTCTAGAACATTTATTAATAGGGTTGCTTCCTTAGGCCAAGTTACCTAACTTTCAATTTTTGTTGCCTGATCTAAGTAATGGGGATAATTACTAATTCTAGCTAGAATTATTACAGTTAAAATAAGATTCAGGTTTCCTTTCTAAATGCCAACAACTTGTGCTGCTTCCAGGGTCCAGTTCAGTATGTCAGAAATCAGATAATCCATATGGAACCCACACCCAGGCCTCTTGGACACAGGGCAGGATTCCATGCCCACCATCATCTTTATCAATAAAAGGGGAGTGATTACCAAGGGGACATGACATACTTAGGCTTCATATTGAGTGAGTTTCTCATTGTCAGCCCTGAAGCACTGGAAACCCATTTTCTAAATGGAAGGCAGCTTGTTGGGTTCAGTAGAAGGTGAGAGATTGATGTTCCACCCTGGAAATGGACATATATTCTGTGAATCTGAGCTTGTTTGTCTGTCATATGGGCCCCAGGGTGCTTTCCTTACATAATTATTGTAATAAGAAAAAGAAAGGCCCACAGAATGTCTGGCATATGTTAGGATTTTGATATATGTTACTGCCAGTCCACCCTGTTTCCTGTGTTCCATAACAGAAGATTTGAGGCATCATCTGGGAAAGTAGCTAGAAGAAGCAGACTTGGGTCCCACCTCATCATGTCCTTTCTTTCCTGTCTTCTTACTTTTCATCTAGTTGGAGAGAATTACTGGATCAAGATAGTTTGTCACCTTTTACCCATTTCTTTATTGAATCAGACATTTGTTTATATCACTTTGGATTTATGCATACATATTGTATAGGTTTTGTCATTTCACATGAAAGAAATGCCAGAATCCTGATTTTTGTAGTGCAGCATGGAATGTGAGTTTCCAGGGAGAAACTATATTTAGTGTATACCTGGGTTCTATGGTCATTTTTAAATGAAAAAAATTCTGTTAACAGACTTGTGCTTTGTTCCAACAACCTGTGCACAGTGTGCCCAATTGCCTGCATCCCCACATACTTCTTCTAATTAGTATGCTTTTTTTCAGGTGGCCTGAAGGGTGGTGAAGGTGCTTTTAAGTGAGAGACAATAGTACAGAAGGGAAGACTACATGGAAGGCATTTCTGGAATACAGGAACTTCCTGCACATCTTGGTTGCCATAGGAGCCTGGTGTCATTAGGGTGACCATGGTGAGAGTAATGACATTCTAAAGGGGATAGACTTAACTCTGCTTTGGGATCAGGGCCGTGTATCCAAGTGTTTGGACTAGGCAGAAGGTGTAGATGCCCCATGGTGGGGGCTGAGCCTACCTGGGGTGTGGGAAGATAAAGAGATCCCAGACAGTCACTTTACTACCACCCTGGGACCAGAGCCCCACTGTCATGAGAGGGAGAGAGATGTGGGACTCTCCTGGTCCCAGGCAGTGTGATATCCAGCTCTAGCATATCCTGGATTCACTTGCTATGTGGCCTCATGGTGTGGAAGGATAAGACAGGAAACAGCCCTTTGTGACCCAGCTTGTCCTGTAAAATGGGTATGAGAATGCTCACCCATGGGATTGCTGGAACCAGCAGTAATAACACACATGTAATCCCATAGCCGTGTGGTTATTGTGGGTTCATGAGCTCACTTCAGTGCTTAGCATGGTTCTATGTATACAATTATTCCAATAAAGCTTAGTAATATCTGGATTCTCTGTCTTCCTAGACTGCTCTTCTTCTGGTGACTGAGCTTATAACAGGTTTCTGGAGAAGATAATTTCTGAGGATGTGGGTCATGCTGGCTGCTGAAGCTTCTACTCCAGATCTGAAGAGCAGCAGTTCTCAGGAGACCCCCAACACTTCCTCTCTGGGGTGGTTGTCCTCATTTTCTAGCAATTTCAAATTCTTTCATAAATTCTTCCTGAGTAGTTACACTTTTGTCCATTGTCTAATGATTATTTTTAAGCCATAAATAGCTCAAAATCTCACTTATAAGAATTTAAAAATTTAAAAGTAACAATTACTGTGTATTTTCCCAGGAACATCTTTCAAATGACCATGTGCTCTTAAATACTATTATGATTTTATTCCCAGAACATCATGTTTTCAGAACATTCTCCCCTCACATTTCTTTGTGCCAAGGCTACCACACATCTTTTGATAACAGATTAGTTTTGATTTCTTATAATTTTATTTAAATGGAATTAGATGGCTTATACTTTTTTGATCTGGCTTGTTTTAATCATCTTACATATTTGTTTTAGTTTTTAAAATTATCTTAGCCATGAATATATGAGATAGCAGAAACATCATTTCTGAATACTTGGGACTTTTTTGATTATTCAGCACATACTATCCACTAGAGGAAGATTTGTGTATGGGGAACAGGGAGATTACCAGTTTTTTTGTGAAGCACCAAAATATCCATTTCATATACACTGAAGGAAGAACACTGAATTTATCTTCATATTTAAAATTAGAATAAGTATTTTTAAAATGATATAACAATTTATATTTATTAATCTTTCCCTAAAAAAAGGATGCTATATGGACTGAATGATTTTGTCCCACTACCCAAATTGATACCCAGTGTGGTATTATTTGGATGTGTGACCTTTAAGAGGTGATTAGGTTTAGATGAGGTCATGAGGGTAGCCTTATAAGAACAGAGATGTGAAATATCTCTCACTCTCTCAGCCACTTGAGGATGCAGTAAGAAGACAATATAATCAGAGTAGGAATAGGACCTTTGCTAGATAAAGAAACTGTTTGCACCTTGATGTCAAACCATCCCGTCTCCAGAACTGTCAGGAAAAAAAATGTCTGTCTTTAAGACAACCAGTTATGGTAGGTAATCTGTGTTATCAGCCCTAAGCAAGCCAAGGGACAGTAACAATATCAATATTTTTTCATGTTGTAAATCCAGATTTTGGACTTTGATAATGATAAAAAACAAACCATAACATCGGCTTGAATCTTAGATATTTTTGTTATTTTGTACCTACATATAAAAAATTAACACCAAGAATAGGAAAGTAAGTAAATAGAAATCACATGAGTATTTTTTTTTTCAGTGGCAGGAAAGAAAGATGGCAGAATGACAGAGAGGCCAAGCTGCCAAGCTTTATTTATATCGATAGGTTACTTTAGGTCAGTGGCATTATAT